TGATCCGGTCGCTTGCCACTCGTATTCGACGCATATGTAGCTCTGATACTGTGGAAGATGAGTTATACATCTTGAGGAAAATCCTAATAGAAAATGGATTTCCACCACGTTTTATAGATAAGAATATACATTCAAATCCTAAAAAACGTGACTTATCAACCGTAACCAAGAAAATACTTTACATGAGCTTGGAATTCAAAGGGGACTTAGCTTCCGATATCATGAAACGGAGGATATCACAGTCCCTGAAAAGAACATTCCCTGCTGCATCCCTGAGAATAGCCTTTACTAGCCAACCATTATTGTTCAATAACCTGAAGGACAAGATCCCGCTGTTGACCAACTCTATGTGTGTTTATCAATTCACCTGCTCGTCTGGAGCTAGGTATATCGGTCGTTCGACACGAGTTTTGTCCAAGAGGGTGCAAGAACACTATCCTGCATGGTTACGAAAAGGTGGAAGTGGAGCAATAAGAAGCGCGATCATTGAACATCTGGTCGATAATGATCACCCTATCTCTATAGCCTCCGCCTTCAAAGTCATCTACAAGGCAAAGAGTAATTTACCCAAATCCCTACGTACCCGACTCATCTGTATTGCTGAAGCCATCTTTGGCTATCGAAACAGAAAAGCCAGATCTCTGTGTACAGAAAAAGTTCGTTCAACCCCTCCAACTTTCATGGTCTTAATCCCTCTATGCTAAAGTATGGTAATCCCCAATCATATTTTAGCTCTACCAATTCTTCATTTTTTCATTTTTGTCTATTCAATTTGTATACTCTTCCTTATTAAGTCAATTGTTACTATTACTACTCTCACTTTTAATTGTCCCCGGTATTATTTCACTTGTTCCACTTGTCATTCTAAATCAATTCCTTTATGCAACATTAAATTCTATGCTATTAAATTTCACACAATATTACGTAACGTTTTTATTTTATTCGATTTGTCTACTAATCTTATAATTGCACACCTTTTTCAAGTTCTATCCATCCTATGAATTATTCTATATATAACATTAATTTGCTTTGCCACTTGACATTTAACTACGATTATAATCACAAACATTTTAGTTTTAATTGCATTTCATATTATTATTATTTCATGCATTCACACCTATGATTCAATTCCCTCACCGGATATAACTTCTTAAAAACCATATATATACAATTGTACAGCTTGATGATAAATTCGTTGAAAAGAGTCTCTTCGCTGAATCATTTGTTTTGATTTTCTATATGTTACAATGGGAATTTTCCATGATTTAAAAGTTATTGATCGCTCTGATTATTCTTGAGAATATTCAAATTACTCGAAAACATCAATTATTTCTGCTACCCTTTTGTATATTTGCATAAAAAATTGTTTGTAAGGGAAATCAATCGACGAGGCCGTGAAGCAGTTACATCGATTGAGATCGTTGGGACTTGTGCTATTTTACGTATGACTGCCAAGCCATCGCCTTCCTCAACGGACAGTGTTGGCTGGTATAGGATGGATCAGGTTGGAAAAGAGCTAGTCAGTGGTGGTCAAACCGAAACATGGCTTTATCAGTCAGCGAAATCGACAACAGTTAGTTTAAGCCAGTGAGCCACGCAGGGAGGTGTAAACCGACTTCCTGATTGGTTGGGATCCTCGGAATGGTAAGAACCAATGGCGAAGGCTGGAGACAGTTGGTGATATGGGTAGAAATCATTCCCAATGGCTGGTGCAGATGCATCCACTCCTTGTGACTTATAATATCCAATAAAAAACTATTTTGTTCTTGGATGTTACTATTCTTTTTGCCTCATATCTCGGTTTACTGTCTCTGCTTTACATTTCTTTTACTTTCTTCTCTTGCTTTATGTGGTGAGTGAAGTGTGGCGACTGGAACTGCTGCACATGCTTGTAAAATTCTATGTTGAAACCAGTCAGTCAGTCATTCTTATTATGGGTAGAAATACCTTCTAGTTATCTTGACAAAAAGGTACATACACACTAGGAAGCAAAGCAAGTGTTTCTGGCAACTTCTGCTTGACAACTTTCTTATATGGAAGTCTACTACACTGAAGACAGGAAGAAATGCTTCAAGTTTCTCATCAAGGTATCCCTGAATGACTGACTGACTGGTTTCAACATAGAACTTTGCACAGATGTGCAGCAGTTCGAGTTGCTACTCTCTATCCATGTAGCATACACAAAGGAGGAGAGAGAAGAGAGTGAGGAGACATTCGAAAGCGAGATAATAAAAAGTGTGAGTAAAGGGAAAAGAGTAGTAATATGGAGGAGTAATAGAATTTTATTGGATATGACAAATCACGAAGAGTGAATGCACTTCCGTCACCCATTGAGAACGATTTTGAGACAGCACCAATTGTCTCCAGTCGTCACTGGTTCTTACCATCCCGAGGACCCCAACCAGTCAGGAAGTCATTTTACACTTACTTTTCTTTACTTCGGCTATCTCCTACGGGAGGATGAGCCGGCTTCATGAACATCTCGAATCATCGCTGCCCAGGCGCGGCGATCTGATGCAAGATTTTACGACAGGGTTATCCAATTCTTGTTCCACAGACGGAGTCCGTAGACGGTTTGTAGCCCCAGGCACTCCATATCAGCCTTGACTGTACCAAGCCATGTTTTCAGCTGTCCACCCTTGCGACATCGCCAAGATGGTAATGGCGAGGGATTTAGAACTGATTTGACCAGATCGTCGTCTGGTCGGCGCAGAACATGGCCAAACCACCGAAGGCGACGTTGTTGGACCAGTACTGGAATTTGGTTGATGTTGTAGCAACGACGACGCACTTCTTCGTTGGGGAATTTGTCCTGCCAACGAACATGCAGAATGTACCTGACGCACCAATGGTCTACAGTGAGAGTCGTTTGTAAGAGAGTTCATGAACTTTCATGGGAATTTGGTACGAGTGATGTCTCCAGAATCGCTCGGCCTTTTGTTTGAGAGTGCAGCTCTAGCCTTTACAGAACCAAGTGTGACCTACAAGGCAGTAGGAGTGGAGTAGGGAGTCCACTATCCATTGGCAGCCGGTGACCGGAGTTCGGTTCATACGCCTTTTTGAATGGGGCCAGACATCCAACAAGCCCTTTGTCCATACGTCTGCCGGTGAGCTTCATACGCCAGTCGTTGGAGGTTTGGAATCAGGGTTTAGCCATCTCCCCTAGACTGTCATCCAATGGACAGTCAACCCGGTGAAGAGCGCCGGGCATCCGCTTTACACCTCCCAGCGTGGCTCGCTGGATGGCTCAGACTAACTGTTATGGATTTCATTGACTGATGAAACCATGTTTCGGTTTGACCACCACTCACTAGCTCTTTTCCAACCTGATCAATCCTATTGCACCTAACATTGCCTGTTGCCGAGGAAGACAGTAACTAGGGATGCATACGTAACACATGTCCCAACCATCTCAATCGATGTAACTGCTTCACATCCTCGTTTATTGATTTCTCCTCCTTACCTAGCACTCGACCGAAGCCTCACCTCAATATTACTCACCCTATTATACCACCTAACACGGGAAACAGTACGGAGACACCCACGATCAAAGACAGCTAACCGGCCTTTCCACGTCTTCCACTTCCAATGGTTGCCATGTCTTACTCACAACCAAAAAGGAGGACGGAGAGAATTGATGAGCAGTACACACGTCCTTTGGTCGATAGCCAGCCAGCCGGATATCACTCCTACCAAACCAGAGATGGCGTAAGTTAGCTGACAAATGCCGAACGAGTCTAGATATGATGGAGAAGATTTGTAGCTCAGGTGGATGACTTCGATGTGCTTGTGTTCTCTCAGCTGGATAGTTAATTTGCGAAGCTTTCATTGCCCTACTAGGCAACAACCTCACCTCAACGCATACTTCAATTTGTTGAAGTGAGCTTTTAGATTTCTCCACGAGTTTATTAGTCATCTTTCCTGGTGACCTTGGACGTGACTGGCTGTTTTTGTGTTTTCACACCCTCTACGCTACTTGTATTGGAACTGATTGTTTCTTGGACTTGAACTTTGATCCTTTGTGTGTGAGGTTACCTTCTGATCGGTTGGCAGATTTTGTCAATCTCGATGTGTCTATTGATTGATGATTCACAAAAACAACCAGTCACGTCCAAGGTCACCCACCAAGAGAGATGAATAATAAACTCGTGGAGAAATCTAAAAGCTCACTTCATCCAATTGAAGTATGCGCTGAGGTGGGGGTGTTGCCTAGTAGGGCAATGAAAGCTTTCCAAATTAACTATCCAGCTCAGAGAACACAACCACATCAAAAAAGCCAAACGAGCCTTTTGTAGCCGTGGTGAGATTTCTTCAGCGATCAACCCGCTGGTACTGGCTGATGCAACTACTCCTCAAATCAGTGAAGTGGTCAACACGCTCCACTAACCCACTTCACTCTATATATCTAAACTAGGAGTCAATATCAGTCCACTCCAGATATCCTTATCTCTGAACACTGTTAAATAATAGAAACAAATAAGATAAGCATTTCTTTTATTTAAAAAAAAACACTTTTTAATTAACTGAAAGACTTTAACTCATTTTGCACATATTTTCAACGTTGAATTTTTGTTTTCCATACTTTCCATAATTTGTTATACAGAAACAAACAATCACTCACTTCCAAGAATACACCAACAATGGGGAATCTCTCACGAAAAAGAAAATTACAAATAACTCAAAATAATGATACAAAATGGTTAAAACTCTTCAAAATAGATTTTACAACAAGAACTATCAAAAGTATAAGAATATTTCTCGACAAGAAAAAGGAAAAAATCTCCAGTTTTTGACGGATAAACTTTAAAGGCATGAAAATATTAACAAATTCGCTGGGTAAAATGGATTTATTTATTTATTTTTAAAAGTTTCTCTTACGTTAGTCAGTCAACCCACTTGTAAGGGAATTAATTACGTTTACAAAAACAGATTAACATCCCTGAGGAGATGGGAAAAAATGCTGTTGATTCACGTAATAATAATAACTGTAGGTTGGGCTGCTATTGATCCCCTTTTGGAACAAATGACGATGTATACTGCTGTTTCAGCTTTTCCGTGTTGGTAAGATCTAAATCATGGACTGGATGAGATGGTGAGCCTGTGAAATGGAAATTAAATGTAAAATTGACTCAATAACAAAGTTGCAATCATAAGCGTCAATCAACAAACACACATACATTCCTCCTCGTGAAGAAAACTATGACTAGAAAGCCAACGTATAAATTCATACTGAAATAATAATAATTAGTTTAAACTGCAATTGTCAGTTAGATTAGAAAGAACAGAACACGAAGTTCAGTAAAGATATTTATGTTTTCGGCGATTTCATTCTCAAAAGCTTTACAATAATCGCATTAAAATGCATAAATTCACATAGATACAATTATTATCATTATTATTGTTAATTAATTCCACATAATTACGAAGACGAATAAAAGGTGACGATTATTTTCAACTTGATATGGATTACGGAGAAATCAATCGACGAGGCTGTGAAGCAGTTACATCGATTGAGATGGTTAGGACATGTGTTAAACATGTATCCTTAGCCATCGCCTTCCGCGACAACATGCAATGTTAGCAGATTGATATGGGTTAATTAGGTTGGAAAAGAGCTAGCACGTGGTGGTCAAACCAAAACATGGCTTCATCAGTCAATGAAATTCACAACAGTTAGTTTAGGCCAGTCACGTAGGAAGGTGTAGACTTCCTGACTGGTTGTGGTCCTCGAGACGGTAAAAACCAATGAAGGCTGCAGACAATTAGTGATATGGTTCAAAGTGATCGTTTTCAATGGCTGGCGTAGATGCATCCATTCCTTGTGACTTGTAATATCCAATAAAAAACTATAGTGTTCTTGGATGTTACTATTCTTTTGGCCTCATATCTCCGTTTACTGTTTCTGTTTTGCATTTCTTTTTACTTTTTTCTCTTGCTTTGTGTGCTGAATTAAGTGTGGAGAATCGAACTGCTGAATATCGGTGCAAATTTCTACGTTGAAACCAGTCAGTCAGTCAGTGTTAAGGATTAATGGAGGCTTAGAAAAAAAATTACCCGGGGATTAGAACGAATTATAGGTGTGAACAAAGTTATTGTCTGTCTCCATGCTCATTTTGTTCACACCTGTAACTCGTTCTAATCCTGTGTAATTTTGTTTCTAAGCTTCTCGTAACCATATCAAGTTGAAAATAATCGTCACCTTTTATTAGTCTTCATAATAATATGGAATTAAATAATAATAATTGTAAATATATGAGTTTATGTATTTAAATGCGATTATTGTACAGCTTTTGAAACTGAAATCGCCAAAAGCATAGATATCTTTGCTGAACTTCGCGCTAGTTAGATCACCGGAAAACCGGAGAACACTGAACAGTTGTTTTGTTCTACTTTTGGGAATCGCTGGCAATGTGTACCCACGATTCTACCACGGATCGAAACAGGGAACTTCAGATTACGACACCAAGCTCGTTGACACTAAGGCATTTGGAATAGAATTCAGTGACAAGTGAATTCTAACTTTGTCAGCTTGTGAAATAACGCGGCCCTCACCTTCGATGAGCACCTACTTTACCTTGACATATGGTGGACTCCAGTGGTCACGACTTCCCACTACATCTCCGGGGAATTCATCCAGTAGTCATCAATGATCTGGAGATTGGTATTTAAATCATGCGATTCAAATCACATTTGTTAGATTTCATTACGAATTAACACCAGTTAGAGATTACCGAAGACAATTAGTTAAGAGTAGCGCCATATCACGAAATGACAGAAGTTTGAGTTTACGAGTCACTGGATTCCGGACGACGTCGCTTAATGGTAGAACAAAATGGCTGTCTAGAGCTCGCCGGCTTTCAGTGATCTCCCGGTAATGTTAAACTTAAAGTACCACTGACTACCAATCAGTGAATGATCTTGAACGCACCAATCACATGAATGGAGTATTTTTGATTATCAAATACATATATTTATGAAAAATAATATATCAAAACTGCATAAAACTGCTACATAGGATACCCTTCTCTCACATGTGATAAAAACATCTCCCAGTTTAGCATAGGAGTATCATTTATATGACTATAAATGTCATCCCCTTGTAATCCATCGATGGCTTTAATTCTGTTTATTTTTCACCTTCACCAGAACTCTTCGATAGAATTGGTATGGGTCCCTGTTCTTCGACCAAAGCTTTATTTTTTTCTTTAGTAAGACAGTTTCATCTACATGTACGACGACACCTTCTCCTCCTAATAAAGAAGTAGGCCTCTTCATTTTCCAGGATGCGATATCCCTGCAATGCTGCTATCACTGAATTGTTGATGTGAGACTATTTTCAGTTTCAGCAGCTGCACATCTCACAGGCTGTTTCAAAACCCAGTAATTACAAATATACAAAATGTGGGTTAAGGACAAGTGGGATCTGGCAAAAAATGTTCCTACGGAATATTAGAATCAGCAGCTTACCTTCCCTAACACAAACTCGTCATCCCCAACCCCAAAAGAAACTGCACAACGATGGACATATCCATCAACTGACCTACTGAAGCTTTTTATACTCATGACATCTCCGCATGAACAAATCCTTTCTTTCCTAATGAACCCCACGTTCAAGGAATACTGGAAAACCTTATCCTTACCAAATTGCAAGCGCAAATGCGTTAGAGCAGGAATTCGACTAGAATCAACCGGAATAGAACCTTCAACCCACGTGGATGAAACTCATTGGACGACTTAAGGTCATTCGCTGATTGGCAGTTAGTGGTGCTTAAAATTTAACTTGGTTGATCTCCCTAATTAATGTTAGTTAATGAAGGAATCCAAATCCCATAATCTAAATTTAAATTACCAAAATTAAAATGTGGACATTAACAGTATGGCCACAGAAATAAAGGACTACCCTACAATGGACAAACAGGTGTATGTACGCATGTATATACAGGTCACTGAATTCACAGACTGATGTTATGTCTTGATATAACCACTTATCTCTTACATCCACACTAATTCTAAGACTAACACTTCCATCAGTTCAGAGTCACTTGGACTTAGGTGTCATAGTTAGCCATGACTTAAAAACTACAGCACACTGTCGCGCGGTGGCTGCACGTAGTTTCAGGTCATTATAGGCAATTCGCAGAGCCTTCACTAGAATCACCAAAGATATGTTCACCTCCTTATATACATCTCTGGTGAGGTCAAGACTGGTAAACTGTATCCAGGCAGCCAGGGGATTCACACATTCTAGAAAGGGTTCAAAGGAAGGCAACACGTATGGTTCTCGGCATGACTAACTCATCATACGAGAAAAGACTAGACAGTTTAAATCTCTTCTCCCTGTCATACCGTAGACACAGAGGAGATTTAATCACAATGTTTAAAATTTTAAATAATGACTACGGACCTGACCTATTTTCTCTTTTCCTTTCCACCAGGTCGGAACAGCAGGAGAGTTCAAAAGCCAAGAAGAAATCATATTGCTTTTGAGTACTGGTTCTCACACCGAGTCATAAACTCTTGGAACCGACTCCCAGAAGAAGTGGTGTCTGCAACCTCAACTGATTCATAAAAAAAGGGTTTGGACAACCACAGAAATTTACTAGAAAAGGATTAACATAGGCTCCAAACCTTCTATCCTCAACCAATAAATCTGAATCTGAAATCTTAGTTAACATTGCTAATTGAGGAATGGACATGGGTAGTACACCCTATTGAAAATTCACCATTTCATAGACTGATTTAACTTCTTCATTCAACTTTACTTGTAGAATAAATGTATCCATAACTTTTGGAATCATATAAATGCTGTTCAGCTATTTTCAGGATTCAGATTCAGATTACAAGGATAGAAAGCTCTTGGTCCCTATGTTAATCCTTGCGCTATATACCTTTGCAGAGATCTAATTTCTCTTTGAAAGCGTACACCGATGGAGCTATTACTACTGAATCAGGTAAGGAGTTCCAGTTGTTGACCACTCTGTGAGAGAATCTAAACTCCAAACGTATTTTATTCGACCTCCGTTTGAGCACATACTTCTGGTGATCTCGTAAATGTATCCTAGAAAAGGTTTGAAATGTCAATCCCCAAATCACCCTTGAATATGCGGTAAGCCAAAATTAAGTCGCCTCTCCTCCTTCGGTATGATAATAGGAAGAGATTTAAATGCTCCATCCTCTCATCATAAGGAAGCTGTGAGATACCAGTAACTAATTTGGTTCCTACTCTCTGTACTTTTTCCAGGATTTGTGCCCCCTATTGGAAGCATGGAATCACCGATTGCATGCAGTATTCTAGATGAGGTTTGACATATGTTGCATAGAGTACTTGGAACATACACTCGTCTAATCGTTTGAAAGCCATTCGAAGTGCCCATAGCATTCGAAAAGCCTTAGCTGCGGCTCGACTACAATTTCATGTTGTTTTTAAGTCACGGCTTACAATAATTCCTAAGCTTTTTTGTCCCTTAACACCTGGCAGTTCTGTGTTCCCCAGGAAGTACGACGTGTAAGACCTCTGACCTAGGTGCATTACCGCACCTGTTTTGGAATTAATTTCCAGACTCCAGAGGTTAGTCCATTCATCTAGTTTATCTAGATCGTTTTGTAGTACCAACCTATCATCGTTAATATTTAGTTTTCCATATCCTAATATCGTCCGCAAATAATGAAGCTATGACGAAGTATACTTATTGTGTAGAAGGTTATAGCTCACAACATCCAGTGATTCCCAATATTACCCAGTTTCATGAGTCACTCGCTAGTGATTTGACTGACTTTCAAAGTAGAACTCTGAACAAAAATACAACACTGTAAGTTGGCATAATCCACCTAGTACACAAATGTAGAAGAAATAAATTCATAAGAACTACAGTGGGCAAAATTTTACGGGAGAAAGAATAGTAAGGTGGGTAACATGAGGATTTAGTGGATCTTTGAAATTACAAAGAATGGATACTTCTGCGCCGATTAGGACAGTTTTGAGCCATATCACCAAAACTCTCTAGCCGTATGTTCTTAGCACCTTAGGGACTCCAACCAAGCAGTCTACTTCTTTCTAAATGGCTCGTACCAACTATTAAAGGTTTCACGGATTGATTG